CAAATACTTGGGGTAGTTCTGCTTCCAGTGACCAGTCCCTTTGTAGTAGAAGCACTCAGTCTCAGGCTTAGGTCCAGACTTGGGCTTCTTCACTTGAGCAGCAACTTGCTTGTCGTTCTTCTTGAAGTTCCCCTTCTTCCCTTTGCTCTTTTTCTTGAAACTAGTGGTCTTTTTAACCATCAACGCTTGATGCTCCTTCTTGATTTCTACCTCTGTAACTTTTAGCATCGAAGCTCAGGAATTGTCTTATCCATCCCTTGCATATTATAGTTCATCACGAAGCTTTTGTAGCTTGGTGGCAGTGATTGAAGAACTCTGTCAATGACACTATCATCAGGAAGATTAACTCCCAGTTGAGTCAAGTGGTTGTGGTACCCAGACATTCTGAGTATATGTTCACTGACAGAACTATTCTCCTCCATCTTGCAGCTATATATAGAACTCATTGGAGACTTCATATCTCTCAATCTAGGCATTTGCTTGAAATATTAACTTCAACTCCTGGAACATCTCATATGCTCCATGACTTCCAAAACGTCGTTGAGGTACCGATTCTAAGCCGTAAAGCATGGCACACTGAACTATCGAGTAGTCATCAGCTTTGCTCTGCCAGACGTTCATAACATCTGGTGTTGCTCCTGCAGCGGGCTTTGCACCTAGCGGTGCTTCTAGGACGTAATTCTTCTGTGCAGCAATGAGGATAATCCTCAAGTTACGAACCCAGTCTGTATAGTTGCTACCATCATCTTTCAAATTAGCTTTCTCTAGGAACGCATTAAAATTCAACGGAACAACAACACGGGCCATTTATCTACAACAACATAGACATGCAAAATACTATCAGGTACTAAGTTCATGATAAATTAAAGTTCAATTAATCATATTACTTAAGAACTCCCACTTAGATAGACATCCTTTTAGTCATCTAAATGATCACGTGATCCATATCAACTAAACCATGTCCAATCATCACGTGAGATGGAGTAGTTTTCAATGGTGAACATCACTATGTTGATCATATCTACTATATGATTCATGCTCGACCTTTCGGTCTCAGTGTTTCGAGGCCATATCTGCATATGCTAGGCTCGTCAAGTTTAACCCAAGTATTCTAGTGCAAAACTGGCTTGCACCCGTTGTATGTGAACGTAGAGCTTATCACACCCGATCATCACGTGGTGTCTCAGTACGGCGAACTATAGCAACGGTGCATACTCAGGGAGAACATTTATACCTTGAAATTTAGTGAGAGGTCATCTTATAATGCTACCGTCGTACTAAGCAAAATAAGATGCATAAAAGATAAACATCACATGCAATCAATATAAGTGATATGATATGGCCATCATCATCTTGTGCCTTTGATCTCCATCTCCAAAGCACCGTCATGATCACCATCGTCGCCGGCTTGACACCTTGATCTCCATCGTAGCATCGTTGTCGTCTCGCCAACTGTTGCTTCTATGACTATCGCTACCGCTTAGTGATAAAGTAAAGCAATTACATGGCGATTGCATTTTATACAATAAAGCGACAACCATATGGCTCCTGCCAGTTGCAGATAACTGTGTTACAAAACATTATGGAAGTTATTCTCTGAGTAACTATAGAAGCCACATTAGTAACAACAAAATTAATGATCATGTATCATGGAAAGACTTATTGGCCAAGTGCTATTATTATTGATGCATCATGATACAAATGAAAAATGAAGGTAGACTACAAAGCTAATATAATCATTTCATAGACAGAGAATAAGTTGGAAATACACAGAAGCACACATGCATAGAGGGACTACTTACATTCGAATTATTACACGGAGCTCTTCAAATTGTTGACGACCATCACACAAGTTCCTTGTAGGGCACAACATGAAAAGGAATTCCATTTGGTGTTTTATTAATTAATTATTATGAAAAGAATAAAACAATCTGAAGTCTGAATAGACATATGGAAAGCCCCATAGAGAAACTAAAATCTAAACCAAAGTCCTACTCCTACATACATAACCAAAGTACCATATCTGTTGGGAAACGCAGTATTTCAAAAAAATTCCTATGATCACGCAAGATCTATCTAGGAGATGCATAGCAACGAGAGGGGAGAGTGTGTCTACATACCCTCATATACCGAAAGCGGAAGCGTATAGTAACGCGGTTGATGTAGTCGAACTTCTTCGCGATCCAACCAATCAAGTACCAAACGCACGACACCTCCGCGATCTGCACATGTTCAGCTCGGTGATGTCCCTCATACTCTTGATCCAGTTGAGGCCGAGGGTGAGTTGCGTCATCACGACGACGTGTTGACGGTGATGATGAAGTTATCGACGCAGGGCTTCGCCTAAGCACTACGACAATATGACCGAGGTGGAAAACTGTGGAGGGGGGCACCGCACACAGCTAAAGATCAACTTATGTGTCTATGGGGTGCCCCCTCCCTCATATATAAAGGAGGGGAGGAGGAGGCCAGCTGGCCACAAGTGGCACGCTAAGGGGGAAGGAATCCTACTCGTAGTAGGAGTAGGTTTCCCCCCTTTCCTAGTCCAAGAAGGAGAAGAAGGGAAAGTGGAGAGAAGAGAAAGAAGGAGGGGGGCCCTTCCCCTTGTCCAATTCGG